TTTTTTGTTTTTTTTTGAATTTCGCGCAAAGCGACACAAGGGCTATCTGCGCTAGCCGTCCCTAATTTAGCAGTGTAAGACTAGAGGGAAGGCAACTAATCATCACCACCCACCGCCAACTCTTGGGCTACTCTTTTACCAACGAACAGTGGGATTGACCGTCACATTATAACGTCCCCACGGCTGAAAAATTGAAAGATAATAAGGAATATTTTATAAGATTAAAAGGGGACAAAAGCCTGAACCTCTCTAATAAAAACTCCCTTGAGGTATCAATAAAAGTCGCTGTACCAAAAATCACCCCCCTGTGTTTTATCCAGTGCAGTATAATCTATTGAGCAGCTTTGCGATTAAAAATAAACAAACACAATTGTACTAAACCATTGCCCATATTTTCTCATACCGTTTGTTAAATATTTCTGTTTATTAACACATAAAAGCGAGGTTTGTGTTTCCACAAGTTTTTTATCCAATTCAGATCTTTCGGTCAAAATCTCAGCAACCGTCTTCATGTGTTTCAGTCCATTGGTATGAAGGATGGAAAAATAATGGTAAGTAAATATAAACCACACCCATGCACATATTTAATTTTCCAATAGTCTTCCTTAATTAAGTGCTTAACTTTTATGTCTCTGTAGCATACACACTCCTCTACTTAAAGTTGAAGTCAGTTGCATATAAAGCTACATTTTTCATCAGCTTTCATCTTAACTTTCTACCTACAAATGAACTAGCACATAAACTCTTTAGAACATTTACCCCAAAACAGTATTAGTTGTTGTTTATTCTTGTTACAGTTTGAAAACTTTGGAAATATTTACCTCCTCTTCTCTGGAAGAATCTATGGTTTAGATTTTGGAGGACTTTTTAGATAGTTTTTTTTGGGGGGGGGCGGCATGGCCAGGTGGTTAGGGAGCTCGACTCACAATCTGCGGGTCGCGGATTCAAATCCCCGTCACACCAAACATGCTGGCCGTGGAGGCGTTATAATGTGACGGTCAATCCCACTATACGTTGGTAAAAGAGTAGCCCAAGAGTGGGCGGTGGGTGGTGATGACTAGCTGCCTTCTCTCTAATTTTACACTGCTAAATTAGGGACGGCTAGCGCAGATAGCCCTCGTGTTGTTTGCGCGAAATTCAAAAAACAAACAAACAGATAGTTTTTCTAGAAAAAGTTGAGAAAAATCTATTTTCTTTATAATTAAACGATTAGTAATACGGAGTTAAAATCCCATGTCTGAAGATTATATGGAGACCCCAACATAGGTTGTAGAGAAAATATTGTCTATTTTCAATTAAACGATTAGTCTTATGACGCTAGAATCCCATATCCAAGGGTTATCTGAAGACCTAATCTTACCTGATGGGGAAAACCCTGTTTGTTTATGACTAAATAATTGGCTCTATGATAATAAAACATCATGTACAAGAATTATCTGGAACCCCAAGATATCTGATGTAAAAAATTGGTCTTACAAATTTAGAATCCCATATCCAAGGGTTATCTGGAGACCCCAATCTACCTGTCTATTTACAACTAAACAATTGATTTTATGAATCTAGAATTAATGCCATAACTCACGCTTTTGCCACTACAATTTTTTGCAATTATGAAGTGAACAACAACAGTGCAACATTATTTGAAAGACCCTGCAACCTTTTAATTAATAAGCAATATAATTACATAAAAGTCGTAAAATGTAAAATCATCATTAAAGTTTTGCCATCATTTTTTATTAAACATTACTCATTTTGCCAAAAATGCACAAAATCTACTATTCTATCTACAGATATAAGAGGTGTGTTACTGCACGACTGTTAAGAAGTTCACGTGTAGAGATACAAGAACATGAATAGGTAATTTGGTATTCGACCTATTTAAATGTATGTATGTATGTTTGTTTGTATATATATATATGTATAAGGTATTTCTTCTTTCCTTCAGTCAACGTGGACACCATGATGACAAAAGTCATTTTTTTCCATTTTCGGGCTTCAATTATTCATACATACTTATGAATGATATCCATATGGGACCGTTCGTCTGTGATGGAGTGTTATAAGCCAAATAATTTTAGTTATCGTAGTACTAACCGTAACAACGAATAATTAGAGTCCCATATGAAAAAAAAAAGAAGTAGGAATTAGAAAGCTTATGTATAACAGACTTGATGTTTATGATTAGTTTGAGCTTTATCAATAGTCTCAATAAATGTATTAATTTTAGTTATGGTTTTACAGTCCTACTCAATGTAAGGTTGAACATCATTTTAATCTGAGGGTAGTGGGTTCGAATTCCCGTCA